CAGCAGCCTAACAGTTTGTGAAGCTGCAGGTTGCAAACAGCAGCAGCCTAACAGTTTGTGAAGCTGCAGGTTGCAAACAGCAGCAGCCTAACAGTAGTAAACAGGTTGCAAACTGTTGAGCTTCAACTACAAGCATCAACTAGTAAACAGTAGCAGCCGGTTATAGTAGCAACAGGTAACAGCATCACAAACAGCAACAGCAGGTTGATTTGAGTTTATGCATTTCATTTTGACAGCTTCATTCAAGTCTGTTTTCACAGCAACTAAGTAGCAACATCAGGTGTCTTGATTTTTGATTTTTGACAGCAAAGAAAGATTGATTTGATACAGCTTTAACAGCTGGTTCTTAAAAGCAGTTTGTTGTGCTGTGTTTAGACAGCAACCAGAAGAAAAACAGATTGCATTTCTTAACAGTTCTTGAAGCAGCAGCAACTTCACAGTAGTGAACAGGTTGCAGGTTCTTAACAGCAAGTTCACAGAAACAGCAACAAGTTGCTGTGATTTCAACAGCAACAACAAGAAAGCAGCAGCTTAGTTGAATTGTGCAGGCTTAAGAATTGCATATTGTACGGTTAAACATTCAAATCTTGACAGGTTTAGACATGCTGTTTGGTGTTTGTAGGTTTAAGCAATAGCAGTTTTTGTGAGGAGCATACTAAGAGGACTGTAGATTTGTGAGGAACTAAAGCAGGACTGGAACTAAAGAGCAAAGCAGAGGTACATCACAGTACATCAAAGTTTCATTATACACAGCTCAGGTGGGACAAAGTGTACTTGTACAGAAGACTCCGATAGTCTAAACTGCAGTTAGAGGGAAGCTAAACGTTGAAGATAAGATACTCTGAAGAGAGTTCATATCAGTACAGATACATTGTAGCTATATTTTCGACTGGTGCTGATAATTGTACATTGTATTGTGTTTGGGCTTGGTTCAATTTGTTTTTGGTCTTGGACATTATTTTTTTTTGGGCTTTTATTAGTTGTCTTGGACTGTTTTTAGTTTATTAGTTTGTTTGTGTTTAGATTTTTGTTTTTGGATCATTGTATTTTTTTTTTGCGTCAATTTTTCAGTGTTTGTGTTTTTCGGTTTCTTCTTGAGCTTAACTGTTAATTTTTTATCTGATTTCACTGCATAGATCCTTAACTGATCAATTTTTTTTAAATGGCAGTTTTTTATACTAAAGAATATCGTGAGCTTAACGAAAAGTATGCTCAAGTAGATTCTAGTCTTAGCAAGAGTATATCATGGTCAAATCATCTGAATGGTATTCTTCAGAGAGAGCAAGAAGAGAAGAGAATTTTGCAAGAAAAGCTGGATGAACTGATGAACACCTGTGCTGATCCAGAAGAGACAGTTAGGTTAAATAAACACGTTGAGGACTTAACTACTATTGTTTCTTAGATTGTTTGTGTTTTGATTTTTGTTTGGATCATTGTCTATTTTTTTTTTTGCATGTGTTTTTCAGTGTTTGTGTTTTTCTATTGTTTTTGAGCTTAACTGTTCGTATTTCTTTTGCTGATTTCACTGCATAGATCCTTAACTGATCAATCTAATTTTAAAATGGCAGTTGTATCTAAATACTTCAGAGAGATAATTTTTGCTCTGGAAAAGAGAGTTGAAAGTTATAAGGAGGAAGTGTTTCTAAATGTTTTAAAGAAACATTATAA